TAAAAAATATTACGAGCAACTTTGTGTGCTGCTATTTCTCAATTGCTTTATGTCGATGGACAAAACATGAATTAACTAAAATATACAATCAGATTATCAACTTTTAATGTTGCACAGCATGGATATGTGAATATTTCTTATTACAAAGTATTATTACAATCATAATAATTCAAGTTGCAATACACATGATATTTTGTAATTTTATAATAAAGTCGAATTATAGACCATACAAAAAGTCTGTATAACATCATAAAAAAATATTCGAAAAAATAGAAAAATATCAAGATCGAAACGTTTGAACTTCTACAATATTTAATTAATTTGAGAGAGATAATTATAATTATTAGCGCTAGTCTTGTTTGGATCATTTGCTTATTTATTACAATATTGGAAATTTTTTTTTTCGAATAGAACTGAAATTTTGAAAGACCAATTTCACAAATATTCAAGTGCAGTGAACTCTGAATATTACGAAATTAATGTTAACGTAAAATATATTAAAATTGCTTAAAATGTATCAAGCGTGTAATTTATCAATTTCAGCCATATATCGAATTTTAACGATTTCTTAATCGCTTCATAAATACTTGGCGGCTATGCACAGCTGTTTTTTGATATTAATTATTGTCCAGTTTAATTGTTCAATTCTGACTGTTCTGATTCAAATAATATGGCCTAATATATATGTACATATTTCATTGAAATTGTATGCATTTTCTCGTTATAATTGGGATATCTTTTTGCTAGCACTGATGTCGGCCTTAAAGCGGCAGGATTATGTTACTTAGGCAGATTCGTGGCAATTATGAGTATCATTCATCGAATGTACTTAACGCCTCCCGTAATTTATTGACTATCTTTTGATAGAAGGCGATTTGTTCCGTTAGATGCGTCCTTACGGCCTTATTTACATGCACTTCCCGTTCCGTCTGAAAATGAATCTCCTCGGCGATTAGAGCACGAGCTATCACATCAGTTCGATGGGAAAGATCACGTAATTGCTGTGGCTCCATTTTATGCTCGCTGACCAGTCGCTCGCAATCCCTTCGTTTTTGCATAGCGCTCTATGGAAAAACACAAGACACGATGAAAAGTTAATCTGTTCAAACGTAACACACTAATTAATGCATTCTGTGTAATAAATACCTTATGAATGCTGGTGACATCGGGAAAATTGCTAATAATACCGCGATAAATATGAAACTTATCAGATAACGGTTCCCAATCGAACTTTGGCTGTTCCTCGTACAACTTGCCGATATCGTTGTAAGCGTCACCAGTCGCCTTCAATGCACGTGTCAGTTTACCGCGACCGTTGTCATCCGCCTCCAGAGCGTGGCTGAGTGATGTGAATGATTGACTGATCTTTTGAAACTCTCTCTTATACAATACTTGATGTTTCTTCGCTTGATCAACCGCCATAGCCATAAAGTTCTTCACCACTGGATCCAAACCACTGATAAATCTATTAAAGGCATCTGTTTGGAGCTCCATCTTTATAATGTCCAGTGGTGTGTCTGGACACTGAATAGCATTGAAATAATTCACGCCTAATAACTCATCCTTCTCTGCCTGTCGTTTTCCTGCCTTCCATCGTTTCTCGTCCGTGCAGGTGATAAAATGTTCCCAGACACGACTACGCGACAACACGGGATGTCGACAGACATAATCGACAAATTCCTGTAATTGCGTACGTCGGTGCTCAATAAACGCGTCCTCGTAACGTCCTGATATCTGCTTATCAGGCAGAGGCGGTATTGGAATAAAGCAATACTTCTCTTCTAGGCGTTCGTGCAACCAATCGAAATGCTTGTACCTCCTTGAAACTTGTATATTATTAAACTACAATATAAATATTAATATTAGGAACACATATTTAAATAATAAATAAAAAAGATGATTTCTTATTACCGTAGGAGTTAACTGGTAGACGATGAAACTCTTGAGACCCTTCAGTTTGGATTCCTTTTTGGGTGATGTAACAACGCAACTGTAGGATTCCCCAGTCGGTAACCATGTGCACCGATTACCCTCTCCTTCTTCTATAAAGATTTTTTCGCTGTCAGGCACAGTTACCACTTTGACGCCCAGCAGAAAACTATCTTCTCCCGACTTGATTAATGTAGAAAACTTATTGTTTTTCTTTGGTATAGGTCTCTCTGGTATCACAGAATGTATAGTATGCATGGACATTGGATCTCCATAATCATTGGCATTATTCTGTTGCGACAGTGATATCTGTGGTTGTTGCTGTTGTTGTTGCGTAGGAGGAACATAAGCCTGCGTTTGTCCGACTTCAGAATCGTCATCCCAGTCATCATCCCAATAATCTCCTGAACTTTGTTGGGACGATGTCATAGTATCTACACATACATATAATATATATAGTTGTCATAAATACTGTGCTTACGCAACATAATAATAAAATAAACTCAGAAGATGATAAAATTAAACAATTAAACAGCGTGATGTACCTCAAACGAGTAAGGCTGACAGAAGACGCCCTGTTAGCAAGGACACGCAGAAATAAGGAAAGAATACAAAAGAATTGGAGAGCAGACCTGAAACTCTCTCAATTCGAATTACAGGAAGACTCTACATCCTATTTTGATGTGAATTTATGTCGGTGTCTTCAGACACTTATTCGATTGCTATTCGTCATCTGACAATCGTCCGATGTCGTATGTTAGTTTTACGATGTCGTCCGATAATCGACTGTGTTGTGCCATTCTACTCATTTACTAAAACTCGAGCATTGCTTGACTCCAGCAGGAAATCATCTGCATGTACCGCAGGTTTAATTTTATTTTGCGTCAGAAATGAAAGATACCGCATGAAAGGTATCGAGAGCAGTCCGTTTATCAAAAGTCAGTGTAACAAGTTGAAATATTCAGTAACAAAAGATGAAAGTAAAGTAAAAATATTTTTATTCTTATAATAAATATTCATTAGTTTTCATAAAAGTATGAGAAAATCATTCTGCTCTGATTCAATTGTTGCTTATGGATTTTGAATGTGCCTATCCTCTGACACAATACAGTGCTTTCCAACACATTATAACACAGTGTATTATTTTAATCTTGTTTAATATTAACAAATAACAATACAATATCACACTATTCTTGCAAGAAAATACAGTAAATCATTACATATTAAATGTAATGAGAAAAACGCCACGAACTTTTTTCCACATCTAATATTTGCTATTTATCAATGTTAAACAGAGATAAAATAATCATTGTGTTACTTACTGTGTTTCTTACTGGAATGCACCAATAAATACAGCAATCCAATTATATATATAAATAACATTAGTACTTCTCCAAAGGTAATCTTTATCTAATCGCTTATCTTTTTTAGATAATCATACAGATAATACAATAACAGATATCAATGAACACATATGTATATTCTTTTAAATAAAAGTAATCTTACGTACTGGAAGGTGCAGCTTGTTCAACTTGTACCACTTGGACATATGCAGCTGGGAATAGTCCCGATTGACCACTCTGATTAAATCCCTCACACCAGCCATCTCCCACATTGTCTCGTATGACAGTCAAAAGTTCACCGGCAATGATTGACAGCTCCGCCGTTCCTGACTCGCCCGTGAAATCGTACAGCGCTCTCACCTACAAAGAACAAGAGAAAATAAAGCGGGTGTATAAGAACAAAGAATCATCTCATACGCTCGTAATAACAGAATGAGTCATAGCAAGACTGGATTGATCAAACTCGGCAACTTAGGTTCTTTCACAAGGATTCTCCACGTACCTGCTGATTCTCCATCGTGCACGATTCGCGCGGTCGGACGCGATTCGCTGAGAGAATTCAAACTCCACCAAAAGGCTGCGCCCGGTCACATTTCCACTCCTCACCTCCCGCCGTCACGAATCGTCTAACATTTGCACGCTCGTACCTCGCGACTCGCAGGTAGTCGTAAATAACCAGCTGGAGTTGTTGAGAATGAACTGTACTGTCTGTACCCCGCAAAGAACAACAGTCTGTCCGCCTCTTATTGTTAATTGCACCTCCTACATTTCCCCTTCCCTTCGTTCGACCATTCCACAATTTTATCGCTTTCCGTTTCCTCCCGTCGAAGCGTAGATATGTTTCGATATGTCTATGAATTCCTTGAATATTTCTCAACTCTCAGACTCACTTCATTCGTCGTTCCTTCTTGTTCCTTCTTTTGTCTTCAAAGCGCGAGGGGCTGAATAAGTAAATATCTATTTCATTTCGAACAGATGTCTCGTTTACGAAAAAGTACAGCAAAAGCTACACGACGATCGAGGGAAATGGATTAGTCGTTATCCTCTTAAAATGTAGCGGTCGCATTCATCGTCAATGATATGAATAGTATCGATAGCACTCTGGAAACGGATCGCTGCGTTAAACAATAAACGTAACGACAACCAATGGCATTGGTCGATCGATGATTATCGTTTTGACGATTTGCCGCGCACGAGAGAAGGTTAGAGAAATCGAGAACCGGTACTCAGTGTTGCCAATGCGCTGATAAAACAAAATTCCAAAATCTATCTAGAAAAAAATCTTTATTCTTTAATTGTTCATTAGTAAATTCAAAAATCTCCAGTTTATCAATTTTAGATTATTGGAAAATTGTCTACGAATAATAAAATTGTGACAAAAAATTTAGGCTGCTTTTCGTTGTTCACTACGAGTATTGAAAAAAAAGAAAGTCTATAGTTCATGTTACGTATACTATAGATTTTCAGTACTCGCAATGAATAAAGGTGCCTTTTCATGCTGATACTTGACATTCATTTTTAGCGTCAAAACAAGTGATGTGTAATTGACGAATATCAAGCATTAATTTTGATCATATAGCTTATTTGACGCTAGAAATGAGCGTCAGCATGAAAAGGTACCTTAAGTAAAAAATTATGCCCGTATTCAGATCTTATACTTCCTTAAATTAATCTTTAAATACTCTACGAATTATTTTATTGGCTGCTGAGCATCTAAAAATAAATTTAAGAAAGCCTTAAGTATGAGGTCTGATAAATACGAGCATTAATCAATCACAATTAAAGGCCACTTTCACTAAGCTTTGATTAAAATAGACCTAGAAACTTTGCAGGATTCCAACTGAAACTGATGTCGGAGAAAAAAATGCAAAGAGAAGTTATAAATATAAATTTGTAATACTAATTTATGTAGCAAGATTTCGCTCTGGTAGCTGTTTGTTAATAACCTATTTTTTTGTGTTCAATATGTAAAATTACAGTTAATTATAATTAGTGAAATATGTTTAACTCTTTAGTTTATATTTTTTTCTCCGACAACAGCTTCAGTTGGAATCCTGCAAAGTTACTAGGCCCTGTTAAATTAATCAGAGCTTAATGAAAGTAGTCCTAAATACAATTAAATATAGAGGAATAATCGATTGATCAATTTCCTACAATTAGCACCAAATCTTTATTTATCGACACTATGATTTTATTAACAGTGTCAAATGTATGAATTAGTTCACATCATTTATAAAATTGATGTTGGTGTCGCTAGTGTACGATGGCCACTGAAGGCCACGTGAAAAATATCGGGATGATTTTTCAGGATAGTTTCTCTCAGATTTCTTTCTGCTCTTGTTTTCATGTGTAGAAAGCAAAATTATGGTACGATATTTTCTTAGGTTTTCGTACATTGGTACTCAGTACAGGTATAATGCTAATTTTACAGTCAGTCGATAGTCAGAAGTTTTAAGTCTTAACAGTTTTAACTTAAAGAGGTGACTAAGATTTTTTGCATCTATCAGTTGTTAATTATATACAGCGAGTCATTTAAGGAATAAGGAATAAAGTCGAATTTGATCAGTTTTAAGAAAATCGGTAGTCTTAGTCGTACAAATTGACTGTTGGCCAACTCCACCGATTCACCGACAAGACTTAGGACTACTGACTATTGACTCATTGTAGAATCATCTTTACAATATTTATTTTTTAATATAAAAAAGTATACATGAACTTATTGCTTGGATAACGTGAGCGTGTGCGAATGCGAGCGGCATTTAACTGAGATTTATTAGTGATTTTGAGCAATTTAGCGATAATTAAGAGTTATTACACTCATTTGGTGTGATTAAGTTTATATTTGTAAATCAAGTCTCTTCTTAACAAGGTAGAAATAACAAAATATTTTATTCTATTTTATAAATGTACATTTGGGCACAACATTCATGAGTATATCTTGTTTTGCGTATGGAATCTGTATATCTTTTATTTCTTGTTATCATATGATTCAACATTTTGTAAAGGGGTTTGCAAAGGCAGAGTTCTGACAATTTTATACAGGACACAGATTCTATCCAGGGTGCTTTAGAAACTGCTCTGCGAACCGTCACACCAAAAAGTCTAATTGTTCCATCATTATGTCTCTCTAGCAGGTAAACTATTATGTTTCATATTATTTTTGTATAATCAACTTGTGTTAATTAATATATTTAATATCTTATAACATTATACCTATTAAAAAATATATTTAAAAATATCAAAAATATTATTTTATATTTGGTTTTATATAACTGATGATTACACATGTATGTATATATGTGTGTGTGTGTGTGTGTGTGTGTGTGTGTGTGTGTGTGTTTATAAATTTTAATTTGTTTTCTTGCTTTTTATATGTTTGTTGGAAAGATTAAATTATTCTTATTGATCTTTTATATTTATTATATGAAGTGTATATTTTTATAGAACAGATGCTGGAGTTCATGCTTTAGACAATACTGCTCATGTAGAGCTTAAAAACAAATATAATACAGTATATAAGTCTTCAGATGTAAAGAGATATGTAAATCGTTATTTTTCCAAATGTGGTCATACCATTAGGTAATTTTTAAAGAGTTATCTTAAGCCTGATTGTCCCAATGTTTTTTAACTTTAAGCAAGACTTAAAATTTTCCTTCTCGACCTTAAAAAAAGAAAGAATTTTAAACTTTGCTTAAAATCAAAGTAATGTTGATGCAATCGAGCTTTAAATGTTAACATATTTATTAAAACAATACTTTTTCATAGGTTACTGGAATGTATACCTGTCACACAAGATTTTCATGTAAGATTTGCATGTAAATCTCGAACATATTTGTACAGATTTATGATACCTAAAATATGTGGGGAACAAAGGATATCTTTACCAGAAACAATACATACTTATCATTTAAGGTAATTATATGAAGTAAAAATTAATGTCCTAGGGATTCTTTACCTTGAAATGGGTGAAAATTATAAAAATAACAATTTACTAGATATCGATCAATAAAATATAAATATTCTAATAAATTCATTCATTTTTGTCATTTTTATCTTTCAAGATACCGAATCAACCCTTCGTGACATATCTTTCAGATCATATAACTTTGACATAGATAGAGCAAGATGTGGTACACAATTGTTTATGGGAACAAAAGACTTTACTACGTTTAGTGCGAAAACAATAACAGATCGCAAAATCCACTATGTACGTGCTTTACAAACTTTTACTTTGGAAGAAGCGCAGCCTTTAATGCCTTTTGATCCACTATCTAAAAATTTTACATACTTTCATTTCACATGCAAGGCAAGATCTTTCTTGTACAATCAGGTAATACTTTATTCGTAAATAAATACATTTTTATGTAAGAAAATTATAAGTGCTAATTCTGTTCAGGTCAGACGAATGATCGGTGCTCTAATTGCATTAGGATTGGGAAAAATAACAGAGAAAGATATCATTGTAATGTTACAAGTTCCTTCCCATTATAACTGGAATCCCCGTATTACACCTGTACCACCGAATGGCTTACATCTATTGAATGTAGAATATGATCTAGATGAATTAAGACGTTGTACCATATTACCAGAGGAAGAGCAAGAGGAGACATCGCAATTGGAGGAACTACAGTGGAAAGAACAGAAACAAGGACTGCAGTTGAAAAAATAGAAAACAAAAAATATATATTACAAAATTGTTAATTGCAAGAGTTGAAAAATATTATTTAATATAAAATAGAATCTATTGTATCATTTAGTAGATAATGATGTTAATTCATGATCTTTTTTAACAAATATATTTGATCCTGATATCTAATGCCAATATCTATATAATAAATATCTATATAATAAATACTAATTTTTGCATAATGAATTTACAAGATCTTATCGCAAAAAAAAAATCGTCGTTAAAATCATGTAAAACAGTGATAAAGGATCAGCTTGGCAACAAATATGAAATCGAACATGGTCAAGTGAAGAAATTAGAAAAAAATCTGCCATTCGTGGTAGATGAAAAACCTGACTTGCATGTAGCCAGTATAATACCAGGATTATATCTCAGTTCTCAAGATCCAGCTGTTTGCAATGATATATTAAAAAAGTATGAAATACGACATATTTTGAGTATAGGTGTCAACGTTTCCGAAAAATATGATGACATTCAATATCATACCTGTGACTTGTTAGACTTACCGGAATCAAATATATTGCCCTCGATAAAAAAATGTGTCAATGTCATACACACGAATCGTAAAGAAAATATTCTTGTGCATTGTAATGCTGGAGTTTCTCGTTCTGCCAGTATTGTTATCGCTTATTTAATGATTATTATGAAATTATCATATGACGAAGCTTATAATATAGTGAAAAGAGAAAGAAGTTGTATCAGGCCTAATGATGGATTTGTGAAACAATTACGTAGTATTGAAAATACAACTTTTGTTTATGAATCATAATGTTCCAATATATGAATTTTTATGTACTTATTCTATATTGATAAATTATTTATCAGTATTTTTGACTAATTTTATATATTTCATAATGTTTATAATAAAATAAAATAGGAATTATTTTTTTTATACATATATATTGGTGAATTTGTGAGCTATTTTACTTAGAACTGAGATTTGAAAGGGCAGAAAAGAATGTATGCCGTAGGAAATGGATAAATAGATCAATGAATGTAGTATATTGTTACAATATAATCCATGTGTTATAACATTATTTACTTATGTGTACAGAGAATATTGTTTTATGTAATTACAATATATTTTATTATAACTCATTAGAAAATTATATTCATGCACAGCATCTATGAAATTCTTAGCCAAAACTAAGCATATTAAAATTTACTAATTCTGGCTTTTTCTTACATTTACCATGCATTGGAGATGACACGTAGGTCGCCGTACCAAGTAGATTTATAAAAATTACTGTAAATCTAAAAAATATAAGTGAATTTCTGTATACATGATAATCCTATTATTTCATTCACATAATAGTAGTGTATCAATGTACCGACATTGGTACCTATTACCTCTTTCTCTTCTATTACATATTACATATTGTATAGAATAATTATTATCAATATCTATATGTGTTTACATGTGATGTGTATATATACAGGCTGTCCTAAAATCACTAGATGATACTTTAAGGA